CCAAGTTTCAACAAGATCGAATTAAAACTGTAGCGGCTAAATAGTTTAATCTGATAGTTTGAAACCGAACAATCATCATCATCATCATCAGTTGTCATATATCATCTATGAGAATCATTAGTTCCTCTTTTATGAAATATCATCATCACATTTAGTTTTTTCTCCTTACAATGGTATATCATTGAAATAACGTCATCTTCCAGTATCATCAGCATATTTACATGTCATCATCAAACATATTTTCTCTTCTTATATAATATATATTATCACATCATCATCATTATTATATTACTTTTCTCTCCTTTTATATCATCATAAACATTAATTTATCTTCTTATGTATCATCGTCATCTTATTTCATTTCCCTTCATATATCAGCATTACAGTAAGTTTCTCCCTTATATATCATCATTATCATAATTAGTTTATCTTCTTGCACAACATTATTATAATGATTAGTTTCTCTTCTTTAATCACCATCGCCCTAATTACAATCGGTTTCTCGTCTTATGTATTATCCTCATCATCAAAATTAGTTTCTCTTCTTGTACAAGACCATCACCATAATCCGTTACCTATTGTACATCATTAACATAAGCCGTTTCTCTCCTTATATATCATTATGATTATAATTAGTTTCTCTTCTTATATATTATATCATCATAATAATTACTTTCTCTTCTTATATATTATCATCATCATCATAATAAGTTTCTCTTCTTACCATCGCCATAATCAGTTATAATTGATTTGTGTTCTTAAATATCATCATAATCAGTTTTTATACTTAATATCATCATCATATCCAGTTTTCTACGTCTATATCATCATCATTATTAGTTTATCTCACTTTATAACTTTATTTTTTTTCATTTTCAGTTATTGTTCTTCAGTTTCTCACTATATATATCCTCATCATCGTTATCAAAATTAATTTCTCTACTTATGCAGCATCACCATCTTAGTTAATTTTTTCATTATTAGTTTCTATCATCATCATTATAATTAGTTTCTTTCATTATATATCATCAACCCCATAACCATCATCATCAAAATTAAATTCCTCTTCTTATACTTGTATATCATTTTCATCATAACCAGTTTCTCTCCGTGTACATTATAATTAGTGTCTCTTCTTATACATCATCTTCATCATAAGTAGTTTCTCTCGTCAAAATTAAATTTCTCTTCTCGTGCATCATCGCCAACTTAATTTATATCAGCATCATAAGTAGTTTCTCTGCTTGTACATCATAATTAGTTTCTCTTTTTGTACATTATCTTCATCATAATTAGTTTCTCTGTTTACCACTGAATAAGTTTCTCACCTTATAAATCATCACTATTATAATCAGTTTCCCTCCTTATATTATATCATCATTATAATGATTACATTCTCTCCGTGTACATTGTAGTTTGTCACCTTAGATCACCATCCAAAAGTCATTTCTCTTATTGTGTATTATAATGATTAGTTATTATAAGTTATTATATTAAGTTTATTTCCTTATATATATCATCATTAGAATAATAAGTTTCTCGCCTTAGGTTTCATAAACATCAAGACCAGTTTCTCTTCTTGTACATTAAAGGGATAGATTCGCTGTTTTCGAGTGTTTATTTGGGTCTTGAATATATGTAAATAGTCTCTAGAAGTACTAGAAATGTATGCAAATAGCATTATTTCTTCAAAATATCTCAAACTAGGAATTTACTCTTTATTTCTATATGTCTTTTGTTTATAAGGCAGGTTTTAAAAAGTCGTCTTTTTAACTTTCAAACGCTGAAAATGCTGGACACACATGGATTTGAAGGCTCAAATTTCGACGGTGAACTGTGAGCATTATTACTGATTGGCTTAACCTAAAAAAAAAAACGTTTCTCAGACTGAAGTTTGATTGGTCAAAAAGTATGGCGCATCTGTCCCTTTAAGTCAGAGTGGTTAAAAGACGATGCATTAGTTTTAGAATTTTGAAACTAAAAGATATTTTTTTTCCTTTTGCACTATTAACAGGATTGCTAATTAGCTTAGCTACAAAAATTCTCGATTCTGAGACTAAGGTATGATTGGTCTAAAAAAAAAAGGTTAACCTGTCTCTTTAACACTTGAACATCCTCATCAGTTTCTCTTGGTGTACATCATAATTCATTTCTCTTCTATATCGTCATCATATTCACAATACGTTTTTCCTCTTATATATATCATCATCATCATCAAAATCTAATTTTATTGTTACGTCTCATAGTCATCCTAATTCATTTCCCTTCTTAAATATCATCATCATAACACGTTTCTCTCTTGATGTATCAACATCACCAAAACCAGTTTCTTCTTTTCTTGTATATCTTTTATATCATCATAACGTGTTTCTATTCTTGAACATCATTATCACTCCATATACAATTCACTTCATTTTTTTAACATTATTATCATAACAATCATTTTCTATTCTTGTACATTATAATTGGTTTATATTCGCTGATATTGTTTGTTGCATATCATATTCAAAGTATCATCAGAAGAATTCTTTCTCGTATTATTTATCAAGTAAAAGAACGTTTATCTCTTAGATAACAAAACTGGTTGGCAATTCTCCGAAATACAGAATTATATATTGCGCGTTGAGACAACCTAAGCAGTTAATAATCAAAGACTGCACCATATTTCTACTCCATTATAAAAATTTAAATCTTATCCACATTTTCAAAATCAGATGCTTGCAAGATGCAAAGGTAAAAATAGAACTTTTGACTTGTAAAATGTTTTAAAAATAAGAAACTTTGCTGGCCACCATTCCTTAAGTCATGTTTTCTGGAACGAGCGGCGCCATTGTGCAGCAAAATAATGTTGACGTTTTTCATACCGAAACGATGTATTTCTTATACCTATTTCGACAGAATAGTTAGTGAGCGCTTGATTGATAGGCTGCATACTGAAGGAGCCCTGAAGGAGCTCGATGGCATATATATAAATGGTCTTAAAAATTTTGAATGGTTAACATATAATTTTTTTTGGAAAAAGCATTGTCTTCACGATTTGAAAACGGAATACTGATATATAAATTGTAAACCACGAGGTAAAAAATGCCTTGTTATATACCTCGAGTAGCTTAAACAGAACATCAATTTAGATATGGACCACCAAATGTTGGTAGTTGATTGATGGAAATATGGCAGATGGCTGACAATTGTTTAAAAAACGTGAATTTGATCTATTGGTCAAGTCTTCAATTTCCATGTCAGTTAAACCCAAAGTATCAATAGCTAGTAGTTACAATATTCATTATCCTTTCTCTGAGAATTAACTTGACTTTCAGAACAAATTCATTATTCATTTATCATCATTCACATTTCAAATTAGAATTGATAAAAAGTATATGTATTCAAATTTCACTAAAACGCTATATAATTATACCATTTGTCACTTATACTTTAATAATCCTCTCAGTGTTATAACAAGCTTAATCGAAGTAAAATTTTAACCCCAAATTGAAATTTACCAACAGCAATATTGTTCGAGATAGAAACTACACAAGATGTAAATCGTAATCTAGCACATGTTACGCCCATTTGCTTCTAATCATTACGTCATTGAGTGTTAACCAATGCTAGATAATGGCATGCTGAGGGCCCCGCCCCTCATGAATATTGATCTAACACAAAACACATCACACTTTCTTTGTTCGTATTTTTAGAATTAGGGATGGGAAGTCAACGAGCTGTTGTGTAATTTAACTTCTCTTATTATTTAAATTTGTTGGCACTATTTTCGTAATATTTAGCAGTAATGGAAGGAAATTGTAATTTAAACTGATTCTATGAATTCCTCTGATATATACTTCACATAATGAATAGCGGGCTTAATTTTTAAAATATCATATAGTAGGGTTTTAAGTGCATTTACATTGACGAAAAGTAAGTTATATATAGGTCAGAGAAAAAATGTAAAGGATAAAAAGGGTTAGTAGGCTAATGTTAAAATAAATGTAATCAGTGTGCATTAGCACTGAGTAACAAATAACAAGTTCAGATTTGGTTTACAATTGTTATTATTATCTGAGTCCATTATATTATAAATGAGTAAATATTAAAATTTAGGCCAACAACCTCTTTTAAGATGATAAACTTTAAAATACTCAAGTTTAGGAATGTGACCTGGTCCACATTTCCAACCAATCAAACGTCATGACCTAAAAATACAATCATTCACGTTGCTGGAAATCATTCATTCAGTAACAGTGACGCAAACATTGCATCCTAATTTACATGAGAACGTGTAGGATTTAGGCGGGTTTTTCAAGCTTCCCTTTGTCTGTTGAATCATACTTACTTCTTAACCATTATGGTTGGCAGTTATTTTCAGACGCTCTTATACCTTTTTACATTAATAATATTATATTTAGTGAAATATTTTTAATTATTTAGTTCTACCTACATAGAATGGTTCTTGTCTATCATTACTGTGATATAAAATTCATAACAAAAAATTTCCGTGACACTATTTTACCCATTCTACTATTTCTTTTCATTGTACAAAATCATTCACTTTGGTTTGTTCTATTGGTGGGTGGGGTGAAAAATTGTCCTTTAAATGGAGCATCATATATTTGGGTATTGCCAGATTGGTAAAACTGACATAATATTTCATCTTGGATGACAAAAGTAACAATGATAACCATGCCGATATCTTTGGAACAAATACCTTATGATTAAATAAAGGGGAGCTTACTACAGTTTCGGACGTCGAACAACGCAGCACAACGCGACAGTGAATTGCATTATCAAGACACGAATTAATAGAACACGAAACAGGTACAGAGCGAGCGCGTGCACTTTATATATTGCCTTTACACTGACTTGCATCATTGTCGTAAGTGAGATTTTGTTGGCGTTATCTAACAGAAATCCACCATTTAGTCCTGGAGTGGTCGGCGTACTATAAATCTTGCAGAGTTGTGTCCCTTTTGTAGCATTTTTCGGTTTTTGACATGCGCATTGAACAGAAAAATCTTTACATTGTATCACTAATGTAAACATTGTAAAATGTAAATAACTGTTTTGATTTGAGTTTTTCATCGATGTCGGTTTGAAAAACGTGAAATAATTACACAGTTAATATGGGGAATGGCGCTTCTACTACTAAGAACCGAAACAGTAAGTGTAGAGTTAACTGAAATACCGTCCTAAAATTGCCCAGCCAAAGTCCAAGGACTCTTATTTGATTCATTGTGTCCCTACTGAACATTTTTGTCGAGTTACTGATACTGTAGCCTACAACTAGTGCTTCAAAATAACTGTATATTTAGAAATATGTTTTATATTGCATTATGTTTATCAGTTATTTATCACTTATTAATACAATGTTCTTGTTAACTTGTGTAGTAACCTATTCTCTGGTAAATACATTTTTCAGTCATATTTAGAAAAGATCTACTTTAATTGGATTCAGGTCCATGAGGGCTACTGAACTGTGAATCTGATACTAAGTATTACACTATCATATTTTATACTTTCAGAATCTAATCGAGCTCAACAACTACCATGTTTAAAAATAGCTATAATAGGTAAATTAATTAGTAGGCCTACCAATGCCAAAAGTCTTTCTTTCTCTGAAATTTTTTAAAAAATTTGATTTTATACCTGCCATGATGAGAATATTATATTGGAAACACGGTATGGCAGAAGAAGATTATAGCTTGTTGAAGTATTTGTTTTTCATTAATAGCAACTCGTTGATCTTTTTAGTCTTGTTTAGAGAGTCCTATATTTGATATTAGAAAATTAATACCATGTTAAAAATTAGTTGTTTTGATTAAGATCTTAAATGTGAAGCATTTATTGTTGGTAGGATAAACTCTCGTCTATTGAAATTGTTTTTGTCAAATTTGTTAGTAAAGTATTTGTTAGTAAAAATTAGATAAGTTTTGTTTCCAAAGAAATCAATCTTAACTTTATTTCATCAAGATTTTATGAAAATGTTTTAAGGTGACTGTGGTGTTGGTAAAACTAGTATATTAGTAAGATATGTACATAATCAGTTTAGTCCAGTGTATAGCCCTACTCATAAGGTGGCCATAGGTAAGCCTAATTTTCTTTCCAACAATGGTATTTGTGGACAACAGTGAAACTCCAACAAAACTATCTTCTATTTAATGAACAGTGTAGTGTAGTAGTTAAATATGTTCTAAACAAACAATAGTATTTTGTCAACTTGAAAAACTCAGTTGCCAAGTATTCCAAAAGCGTGAGCATGCCCTGCCTTGATAGTACTAATATAAGTGAAGCTCGAATTGAGTTCTTTGGTTTCAAGAGTTAAAGGCTAATAGGATGGAGAATTACTTCAGGGGGATCTTGCAAGAGCGATATTAAGAGCTGTATATGTTTTCACTGATGGGTTTCAATTATTTCTATCCGTAGCAGATGTGACATCTTTGACAGAATATACATGTACATCCAAGTGAAGTACCATTGGGAGTAATAATTCTGAATAAGAATAGAATGGAGATATGTCTATTATGTCTTTATAATTAAAAGCTGTTTTTGTTTTGTAGAAAATATAGTAAGGAAAGTAAATATACCGAACCATGCCTTAGCTTCTATAACATTCTGGGATATTCCTGGTAGAGAAGAGTTTGACCTCTATAAATCTTATTTTACTAATTTAGATGCTGCAATAGGTAATGTGTAATATAATTTTTAATGATAGCTTAATACAGCCCATTTAAAAATATTTTTATGTTATAGTCCGTTATATTTTATTTGCAATTGAGACAATATATTATGTGCAAAATGTTATGATATATATCTGGACAAGCCATATGGATTCTACAAAAGTATCAGCTTGACCTCTGGATCAGTATTTAAAGATGGGTTCCCTTATTTTCATTTATGAAAATGAAAATGCTAATACTTATATGAATAGAAAGTAGAGGTGTTCTAATGACTAACCAGTTTGTCTAATATGCCCATAATTAATTCATAATTAGCTAAATTAGAAGAGATTTACCAGCAGAATTCCAATGAGTGACTGATCAAAAAATGTCAAAAAGTCTTTTTTGGGTTTATCCAGACTGTACTTACATGGACATTTATAATTGGTTAAAACTATTAATCATATGCATGATAATTCATTAGAAACATCAATTAATCAAACAGTTTCCTTAATTTGACACTAAAAAATAACAAACTAAATGTTGGCTTCAAAACAGCACAAATTATTCTACATAGTTCAGTTCTCCAATATTTTCTTTTTCTATTTTTTCTAAGTTGTTGTTGATCTAAGTGAGAAAGACTCATTAGAAATGGCTTTAGTATGGAAACAGTTGTTAGTAAACAATATGTACACATCAACCCTTATTGATAGTACACCAGGTGTCAAACAACCATCAGATACTTATAAAATACAACCATCAACAGACAAATATACAGTACCTATATTATTACTAGCAAACAAGTTAGATATTGTAAGTATTATTGAAAGTAATGACATCTTGTATTTGATTATTAAGTTGTATCAGTCAGCTGATAAATTTATAGTATTTTAGTTAGATTTTGAAGAACATCTGCATTTAGTCTATCATGATCTTATGAAAATATTACAGGATGATTTTACCAATGATCCTTGGACAGTTTTTATCCCCATTAAGTCAATCTGCCCCTATTGGTTACCCTAAATACAAAGCCTCTCGAGAGGCTTGAGCTGCTCTCTGAAACATATTTTGTTCTATATCAGGTAGAGGAATTGAATAAAGAAGAAGAAGGTTGTGACAAGTTGACAGCTTGTGTTAATAAGGTAGAGGAATATGGATCCAAGCATAACTTCACGGCAAGGTAATGTCTATTGATGTTTCAATATATTGATCAATTTTCAATTTACTTAAATGGGGCAAAAAGACATAAATGCTCAATAATCTTATTAAAATTTTGAAATATATACCTGAAAAATATCGTATCGTGACATATTGATATTGTTGACTTCAATTGAACCTCTGTGGTCAAGCTACAGTTAATGGTGAAATTATGTATTATTCTCAACTTGAGAAAATATTTCATTTTAGTTTTGAAGTTGTGACTTTAGAACCCTGAGTAAAACCCCGTAAAGCTCCAGTCTACCCTACCATACTCAAAGGCAATGTCAGTGAGGGTACAGGCATTTGTTCACTTCATGAACCATATTAATTTGAATTTTCAAAATTTCAGAACCTCCTGAGACCCTTCATGACAAGCTTACTCTTACTATGAGCTTGTACAGTTGATATCTCAGCAGTTATCCCTTCCTTAAGTCAGTCTACCTAGTATTTGTACTTCCAGTTCCAGAAGGCTGACACAATTATTTTACATTATAGTGTATGTGTATCAGCTCGTAATGGTGATGACAGTGTACATCAAGCTATACAGAGTTTTATAAGATTGATATTAGAGAAATATTATAAACCAACTGTAAAAGTAAATAAAGATATTAATACACATACTGCTTCTACTCGAACACCGTCATCTAAAAAACCTCTCTTTCAATCTTGTGGCATTAAACAAGTAAGTTAGCTATACATGTGTCTTTATATTTATCACAATATTCTCAAATGTAGACTATGTTTGACTTTGAATATTTATCACAATATTCTCAAATGTAGATTATGTTTGACTTTGAATATTTATCACAATATTCTCAAATGTAGATTATGTTTGACTTTGAATATTTATCACAATATTCTCAAATGTAGATTATGTTTGACTTTGATTATTCATCACAATATTCTCCAATGTAGATTATGTTTGACTTTGAATATTCATCACAATATTCTAAAATGTAGACTATGTTTGACTTTGAATATTTATCACAATATTCTCAAATGTAGATTATGTTTGCTTTGAATATTTATCACAATAATATTCTCAAATGTAGATTATGTTGGACTTTGAATATTTATCACAATATTCTAAAATGCAGACTATGTTTGACATTGAATTTTTATCACAATATTCTCAAACTACTCTCAGACTATGTTTGACTTTGAATATTTACGAAAATATTCTCAAATGTAGGCAATGTTTGACTTTGAATATTTATGACAATATTCTCAAATGTAGATTATGTTTGATTTTGAATATTTATCACAATATTCTCAAATGTAGACTATGTTTGACTTTGAATATTTATCACAATATTTTCAAATGTAGATTATGCTTGACTTCGAATATTTAACACAATATTCTCAAATGTAGACTATGTTTGACTTTGAATATTTATGACAATATTCTCAAATGTAGATTATGTTTGACTTTGAATATTTATCACAATATTCTCAAATGTAGACTATGTTTGACTTTGAATATTTATCACAATATTCTCAAATGTAGATTATGTTTGACTTTGAATATTTATCACAATATTCTCAAATGTAGACTATGTTTGACTTTGAATATTTATGACAATATTCTCAAATGTAGATTATGTTTGACATTGAATATTTATCACAATATTCTCAAATGTAGACTATGTTTGACTTTGAATATCAATGACAATATTCTAAAATGTAGGCAATGTTTTTTTTTGAATATTCATTCCAATAAAACGATGGTATAGTATTACTTTAAGTATAGTAGTATAATTTTATGAGACAATAATGATGTTTTATTGTTTAACTTTGAAATTTATTATAAAATGTCTTGCATTTGTTTTTTGACATTGATTATTTATCATTGAAATTAAAAGATTTGAAATTGTAGATAGATGAAGAATTTGAAAGAGGAGAAAAATGTTTAAGAAGAATTCAGCTATTGATTAAGCTAAATGAAAATAGTTTAAATAAGTTTAAGAAAAAATGCATCAAATCTGAGTTAGCTCATAAAGATGAAGCTAGCCTAGAGTCTTGTGTTGTTGCATTGAAGAAATATTTTTGTTCTCCAGATACAGAAATTACAGTAGGTGCAATATCATTATCGCCTGATGATGGAAATGTAAATTGTTGAAATTGTTGGTTGTGTAGAATAGAACTAGTAAATTAGGAGTAGTAAACTATAAAATTGTGTGCCATTATTTAATGTGACGTCTACACCTGAATATCCATAATGAGGATAAATAATTACAAAAAATTCTCTTTTGGTTTTTGATACATATATCTAATTTATAGAATAAATAAGTAAAAAAAATTTATCAATATCAATTCTCTTTATTACAGTTTGAAGAAAGTGGTGGATTCTGCACAATACAACCTTATTGTAGTAAAGGAGAGTTTAAAATGGCTACATGTTATGAGAAAATATTTCAGACCTTCAATAACGAGGTATTAATTAATTATATTTTGATATATTATTGATAGTATCAATCAATGATAGAATCTATTTAATTTCAATGGAAATATTCTTAAGCCAGAAAATCTAAATCTAGACTCTCTGAAAGTGAAAAGATTTTTTAATTTTTTCAAGATTGCTTTTAGGTTTTTATATCACTATACCCCTTAAAATTTAGATTTTATAAACTTTTGATTGGAATTAGTTAATAAGAAGTTGCAGGTTGGTGTGAGATATTTCAGAAGAGTCAAGAAAAAAGATAAAATTCTAATGATCTTTTGTATTGAACATATTTCAGTATTCTGTCAGTGTGAAGACTATCTTAAATGAATTTCCAGAATTAGACAGATCATTAAGCTCTATAGACACAAGAATATCTCAGTTATGTGAAGAATATTCTAACAATACAGAAACCAGCAATACCATGGATACACAAACAGATTATGATCAAGCCAAATCCACCGTCGAATTCAACAGAGCAACAATTGTATTTTATCAAAACCAAATAAAAGACAAACTTCAGAGCTCATCCAAGGCATTGTCTAAAATTAAAACAGCCTTTTTATGGTGATTGTGTGCTTAAATACATGTGTAATCTAATTAAGATTTATGTCATCCACTTGAAAAATCATATTTTGATTCAGTTCATTTTGAAAGTCAATTTAGCATTATAAACAAATTGATTAATGCCTTTATAATATAAACTAATTCTATATTTTTTAACCGGTCAGATTCCTTTCCATCATCCAAATAGTGATGAGAATTCTCTTAAACTTCAGGAATTATAGAATGAACATGGATAATATTTAAGGAGAATTATTTTGAATCCTAATTTTACTAAATATCTGGGGACGGTTTCATTAATTTTAAACTGAAAATGATTTTGATTTTCCAGTGATCTGATTGGTCTTTAACTAAAAAAAAATAATTAAATTAAAAAATTTCTTAAAAATGTCTGTTAATGAGGAAGCAAATGCATTAATCAAAAATCAACAATGAGATCTAATAAAGTTGCTATTTACGCCTTATTGAATAAAATGCAATAATATATATTATATATATATTTCATTTGCTGCAATGATTTGTTAATGGTGGCCTTTAAATATATTTTTATCTGTGATATGCTTTTTGAGCACTGTTTGTTTTACAATCATATAAATTTGCAATTTACACCATATAATAAAATTACGATATTATATTCTGTCACTAGTTTCATTTACAAAAAATTTCCCTTCTATGGCATTTATTTCCTAAAACTTAGTATGCATGTATATATTGATGAGATATCGGTCAAGTTTGATGTTGGTAATAATTGGATGAACGATTTCAGGGTTATTGCCCTTGACTTAGTAAAATTTGGCTTTTAGGCAGGCTATAGACTACAGTTTTTATCCGATATTGATGAAACTTAGTATGCATGTATACATTGATGAGATATCGGTCAAGTTTGAATTTTGTCATTATCAGATGATTGGTTTTGGAGTAATTGCCCGTGATTTTGTAAAAACCCTACAAATTTGTCTTGAAGTCATGATATGGACAAGATCTGTCAAGTTGAAATTGGTAACAATCGGGTGAACGGTTTTGGAGTTATAGCCCTTGAATTAATTCAATGCTTGTAGTCCTGATAGAGACTACATTTTTATACGATCTTGATGAAACTTGGTAAGAGATCTCTGTAGTAAAAATAGGATGATTGGTTTCACATATTAAACCACTACAGACTTTGTTATCATTTCTGACAGATGGTAGTGGGCGTATGTTACCTGCCTGGCAAGCTATCTTTCTATTGTTTTTTAACATTTTGAAATTTGGGGCAACTGCACAATTTCTCAGTTATTTCCCTTGTAACTGACCATTGAAAATGCAGTAGTTGCCAAAGTTCTTTGATGTTGAAATTGGAGCATTTGCGTGGATTTTATTGCTTTTCGGAAGTGGGTGCTCTGTAAATGTTGGTAACCTTGTGACTTAAGCGGTGAGCATTGGCGGATGTAGTATTTTGTATTCATTTTGGGAAAATTAAGGAGCACTAAAGCAATGATGTTTCAATAACAAAAAGATTTATTTAGACAACCTCAATATCAGTGGCGCTCCCACCCCCAATTCTATTAATTGTTATACACCCACATGAAATGGGGGGCGTATATTGCCGTCATCCATGTCCGTCCGTCCGTTCACAATTGCTCGTAAACACTCTAGAAGGCACAATTCTTGATGGATTTTGACAAAACCTGGTATGACTGTTCGTTATCACCCAAGGATGAACCCTATTGAAAATCAGAAGAATCGAAAAATATTGAGTATGAGTTATTGCCTTTGTTCTTGAAAACGCGTTCAATTTTTTAGCTCGTAAACACTCTAGAAGGAACAATTCTTGATGGATTTTGACGGAACTTGGCATGAATGTTCGTAATCACCCAAGGTTGAACCCTATTGAAAATCAGAAGAATTGAAAAATATTTAGTATGAATTACTGCCATTTGTTCTTGAAAACGCTTTCAAATTTTGCTCTTAACCACTAAAAGGCATGATTGTTGCTGGATTTTGACAAAACTTGCTTTTATTATTCAGTCCCGCGCTGAAGATTGAATATTTGCCTTCTAAAGTTTTCATGGGCTAAAAATTGAACACGTTTTCAAGAACAAGGGCAATAACTCATAATCAATATTATTCATTATCGCCCTGAAGAGTTCAAAAGAAGTGTATGATTGAAGGTTGAATATTTCATACTGGTGATTGTTACTGTACTGCTAAATATTTTTAATCAAAATCAAAGCTGCCAGTGGGCGTATATTACCTTGCCTGGCAAGCTATCTTTTTTTTATCAACTTACATAGTGAAAGCATAGCCTGTGCTAGCTTTAGATATGTGAACTATTTCATATGACATCGCATATCAAGATCTTACGTAGGGCTCTAAATACGCCACTGATTATTCTGTTTAGATGCCTGAGACATGCCAAAGGATACATCTTTAGTGAATTCTCAAATAGCGACAAGACTTTTGTGAGAAACTGTCTCAGAAAATAAGAAACATTGTTTATATGCATGATTATAATTTTAATAATATGATTAATAATTAATTACTCAAAACGCTTCGGTGCCATTCCATTTTTAGCACAAGCCACACTTGTGTGGACATTCTTCAGGTATATTAGCATATACAGTACACCAGTCTGTTTGGTACAAAGGACAGCTCGCTTCATCAGCTTTACAGTTCACTGTAAAAAAAAAGACAATTTAATGTATGTGGTTTAGGTTTAGATAATTTTATATGTTTGAGCTAATTATGTTAGTCAATATTATTCTATTTGACCCATTTTGCCTTGGCAAGTCTTTTTCAATTGTTATAATCTACAAAGTTAAATGCGCCGCCGCGGCGTCGATGATTTTTCTGCTATTTCCGCTTACCGACCGATAGAAACTAGTTTCTTAAGGTACTGCCTCAACTTGGAACTTATATAACCTCAAAGTATAGTAGTAAACTGAAACCCACCTTGAGTACAATCAGCACCAGTGTAGAGTGCAGAACATTTACAAGTACAAGTATCGTACTGCATAGTACCATCATTCTGGCATATCTTACCACCACAATCTGAAATCATTTAATCCCTATTTGAACAATATTTTATTTCAAAAGCAACATGGGTCTAACACCATTGTTATGAAATACAATTTTTATATACACAAAATAACTCCACTGATCAAAGTCTAGGTTGAATAAGAGCTTTTATTGGCTCCATTTGGACAACAAACATGCTCACTAAGAAAACATGAACCTTCGAATTTTTAGTGTTACCATAATTATATTTACAAAAAATATTTTAAATAAAATTGGGTATTAGGTGTATGTAAATCTAGTTGAAGAAATATATTTACCACAAAGTTTGAGACTCTGGTCACAGTTCCCGGAACAACTAGAACATGGTGTGCCCAGTGAATACGGATTGGGAAATTCGCTGGTGAGTTGCCTGAAACGTATCAGTAGATATTTATTATCAATCTAATGATCATTATTTCTCAACGAAAACATATCAAGTAGACAATCACAATAATTTTAAGAGAAATAAAACTAGTAAATGTTACATACCCTCTGGCATAGTTACAGAACCATGTAGTTTTTTGGAAATTTTCGTCACTTCCAGGTGGGCAATCGGCTCGTCCACACCCAACTCTAACAGCATTATCGTTTACTACCTTAAATATAATAATTTTACCATGACTTTACTGTCTAAAGCACGGCAAAAGTATACAATGAGTTATCAGAAAAAATTAATATTCTCATATCGGAAGTCTGCAAGTGGTAAATACAATGTGTACAAATGTTTAAATTCAAACTCATCCGTCCCATAAAACATTTGTCTAAATGCAAATCTACAAGTTAAGAATCACAATATGACTACTGTCTCAAGTAAATCTACATGTAAAGACTTGCAGCATTGCTATTGTCTCATGTAAATCTACATGTAAAGACTTGCAGCATTGCTATTGTCTCAAGTAAATCTACATGTAAAGACTTGCAGCATTGCTATTGTCTCATGTAAATCTACATGTAAGTACTTGCAGCATTGCTATTGTCTCATATAAATCTACATGTAAAGACTCGCAGCATTGCTATTGTCTCATGTAAATTTACATATAAAGACTTGCAGCATTGCTATTGTCTCATGTAAATCTACATGTAAAGACTTGCAGCATTGCTATTGTCTCATGTAAATTTACATATAAAGACTTGCAGCATTGCTATTGTCTCAAGTAAATCTACATGTAAAGACTTGCAGCATTGCTATTGTCTCAAGTAAATCTACATGTAAAGACTTGCAGCATTGCTATTGTCTCAAGTAAATCTACATGTAAAGACTTGCAGCATTGCTATTGTCTCAAGTAAATCTACATGTAAAGACTTGCAGCATTGCTATTGTCTCATGTAAATCTACATGTAAAGACTTGCAGCATTGCTATTGTCTCATATAAATCTACATGTAAAGACTCGCAGCATTGCTATTGTCTCATATAAATTTACATATAAAGACTCGCAGCATTGCTATTGTCTCATGTAAATTTACATATAAAGACTTGCAGCATTGCTATTGTCTCATGTAAATTTACATATAAAGACTTGCAGCATTGCTATTGTCTCAAGTAAATCTACATGTAAAGACTTGCAGCATTGCTATTGTCTCATGTAAATCTACATGTAAAGACTTGCAGCATTGCTATTGTCTCAAGTAAATCTACATGTAAAGACTTGCAGCATTGCTATTGTCTCATGTAAATCTACATGTAAGTACTTGCAGCATTGCTATTGTCTCATATAAATCTACATGTAAAGACTCGCAGCATTGCTATTGTCTCATGTAAATCTACATGTAAAGACTCGCAGCATTGAAATTATCTACATGTAAATTTACATATAAAGACCCACAGCATGTCATTGTCTACATGTAAATCTACCTACAAGACGTTAAGCTTGAGTTGAGCGATATTACTGTAAAAAAAAAAAACGGTATGAGAAAAAAAAAACGGACGATAGATATGAATTTTTTTGGCGCTACTTCACATGTACCTCTTTATGATTTTAATTGTTTATCTACTAAAATACGACAGGATGCTGTTCTAGACTCTATTCTGAGTATTCTCACCAAATTATTTTTTCTGCTTTAAATCGATTTTTTGTTCGTAAAAATATCGCACTCTTCAAAGAAGATATTCGAATGTTGAAAAAAAGTGTAACTTCAATAGTTAACTGATAGACGGCTTTTTCTATACCGCGGTATACCGTTGCGATATTATCGTGACGATATTTGGCGATATACGTAAACATTAAATATTTAACCAACCTCAGCTATTTATTTTCAATTTCAGTCGGTAATTTTATGCTGATCAGTTTTCGAAACAATTTCGGGATTTTTTTTCATAAAATAATCCAAAATGACTGTTTAGACACCATTTAAAAATATGTAACATAGCTTCTTAAATGCTTGCCATAAGACAATTACTTTCCATGACGCTGGGCTATTTAGTTACAGTTGAATCGTAGCTTACTTGTTCAACTAAGCCTATAGCCAATTGGTGAACCTCATTATGACAGTTTTGTGGAGGTTGGTCAGAGTTCAGATATTCAACCTCTTTCAGCCCATGAATTCCCTACCTACAATGTATTGGTTCTTCCGAGAGGTGTGTTCTGTACATGTTCGAGCACCTAACTCATACTCGTGCATTTTTGTGAATGCTAGCGGCTTGAATATGATAAGGGAATGTTATCACAATGTGCATTATATACAATATTACAACGGTAATGCGGTCTTGATAGACAAAAATATAAATGTGTCCGACGGAGAATAACACAACCTCATCAGCCTCATGGCCAAAGTGCTTATCTTATTTTTGCCCTGTCAACATCCAAATTATATAATGTGTCTTCTTAGATCTATGGCCTCATGCGGCAGTTTTCAATACTTTTAAGCAGAAACAATAAACGAGATACTTGATAACATTTCGAAGAGTTTATTTCTGGAAATTTTCTATATTGCTATATTTGAACCTATCGTGATAAAAAAAAATTGTCTGAATCGCGATATAACTGCCGATACACAAAAGAACGCATATCGCCCAAGTTAAGACGTGGCTATTGTCTACATGCAAATCTACATGTAAATGAACATGTGAAGAACCACAACATGGCCATTGTCTATAAAGCTGACATAAATATCATTTGAAACAAACAAAAATGGTACCTGAGTATAATGACCAATTACTCCGCCATCTTTTGAACCTTTACCATGAACAAAACTTTTCTTTTCGCTATACCACTCATCTATTGCCTCGGTCCATGTAACAGTGTCAAATGCACCATTTTGACCAATAAATACACTAGGGTAGGCTGAGAAAAGAATAAATAAGATAAACATTTACTAATTCGGCAGACTACATTCTGAAATTCACAATTATGAATCGTTGTCAACGAAAATACTTGACAAAACTTTGAATATGTTATTTTACACCAAAAGCAGTGATTTGTCCTGTGACATCAAGCACTACAGATCGGTTTTCCTTATATTGACTGACTTTGAGAAGGCTTGAGATTGAATATTCAATACAATGTGCTCAATCAAAGAGCCAATCAGCATCAATGCTTACCTTTGGTGGCTCTTTTCTTATAATTATCATGTCCAAATTTACACTGTTTTGCCCACTTTTCTGCAATTTTAGCTAATTCATCATCCCAAACCTGGAATTAATCATGACACTATTGGGCTTCAAGTTTTTATAATAATATTATTATAAATGTGACCTTCTGAATATTATAATTTAACAGAAGCTAATGGCCATAATGTGAGGGGTTCCTTTTTTATGTGTTTCTTTTTTATGTTATTCAATTCTGATCAAACCAATAGACTTTGCGCTATAATCTCTAGCTACTATTAGCACAGGTATGAAATTTCAAATTTTCCACTAACGTTGATAGGTTAAAATAATGTAATAAGAAAGAAATTGCGACAGAAAAAATGTTATTATGATAGATTCGCAAAATATAGGGCAAATGAAACGAATTTGTAATATCATTTTAACTATTTTTTCGTCGACCCTACGTACACATGTTCAATTATTATACTTACCATCTTGACCATACCACTAGCAGCTGGTGTGACTTCAGAACGAAGTTTATTATGACGGTCAACTATTTCTTTCTTAGCACTGGCATCAACTGCTACAGCTTTACCAACATCCGAAGAAATACACATTGTATGATCAGCTGATATTTCAGCATAACTGCAGACCTAATCATACGGTAAGCAATGCAATGAACTCAAAACCAAAGGTTGGAATGTCTAAAAGTAACATTCACAATTTTACCAATCTGCCCTGATGTTTGTTGTACATAACAAATGTACAATTTTATATCAGAAATATGAACTGAAGTGGCCGTCTGGATCGATTGCATGTTTTGAAAATGAAATATTTAAAGAAGAGTCTTAATGAAGAGTAAATATTAAGAATAAAATTTTACAAGGACGTTTTCAAAAACATTACATACAAGCAAATCAGATGCATAAAACAATGATTACTTCTTCTACAGAAATTAATAAAACAGCTAAATCTGTCTTCAAAAAGAGAGAAATATAATATTTTGGGGTTTTTTTTGTATAAGTTTGTGCATACTCCGCTTTTATTAATGCTATAGAGGGCTCTATGAGAACAGTCTAAGAAAAGATATCCCAATTATCAAGATGATGATTTGTTCAGAAAGATCAGAAAATAAATTAAGTAGCCTACTCGTTTACCATGACGCGTTAGTATATATGACGAAAAATTGTGATCTTTTGAGATTTTCAATCTAATCAAGCGTATCTTGTTTTTGACTTAGAATGAATTGTCCTTACCTGTCTTTTATGTAAGACACTGCTAAGTAAAAAACCATAGCAACACACTGGAATTTAAAATACAACACAAGTCAATGAATCCTTAGAATGCAACTCAAAAATCACATTTTCCTGTTATTCATTAGAAAGATTATACGATCTGAATATGTCTCGTACAAACACGAGCAGAGGATTTGGGTAACTTGGAAACGGTTTTAGTATAATGGTTGTTGTACAGTGTTACTGAGGATCATTACATGAAGAATTTTTAAACTTACCGGCGATTTCAATCAAAATGGCTGCCTTCAAATATATCATTTTGATTTCAATTCCTGTGCCAAACTTCTGTCAAAATGAAAGTGACTTGTTGTTCAGTTACTTATATTGCAAAAAGAATCTATTCAAATCAATTTTGAATAATTGAATAACTAAATTGAATTGAATGTAAGATACTACTTTCCACGTGATAACCAATAAATACTAATAATCTAAACTAACAACAAGGGTGTGTTTTTCAGAAAATATACTCATTAAATCTGGATACGTTTATTAGAAAATTATCAATAAAATGAAGAATGGATCGTTTTCATTAAACAGACTACACCTGCAGCAATTTATCATTTTACTATTCTATTGTAGTTCTTAGGTCTATGTCCTTAACAAGGGATATGGACCTCTAATTTCTTTGCTCCGTATGTCAAAAAAGAAATCAACTGAATAAAAACGAATTTCAACGAATTTCTCACGAAATTCTAAAAATTGGATGTAATGCAACGAGTGGACACTACTTCTATGTTATCTGTTCTGTTGCCAGTGTGAGTACACTAACATTCTCTAATTCCTTTCAACTACTGTTCAACAACATTGGTTTCAGAACCGCATATCCTAATCATATGATGGTAAATACAAATGACATTTCGAAAATAGTACTAAGAGTTTGTCTTGTGTTGATGAAAACCCTACTAATGATGAAATTACATATCGAATGTAGGCCTATGATTTAAAGGTAAACTAACTCTTAGGAAGACAAAAAATTAAAAAAGTTAAACTTGGTCAAAAGGAGTCTTAGTTCATCAGTAGACTGATGTAATAACTATACAACATAATCCCTCTAAAATCCAATTTAAATACATCAGTAATGATTATTCATTAAACTAAGTAATTTTGTAAAATGCTTAGAAGTGTGTTTTAATAATCATTTAGTTTAATGGATATATCGTCTTATACATAGAGATTATTTTCTTTAGTCATTGCACCTGGTAAGTACAACTGATGAATATTATATTCTAAAGACTGATTTTTTTTTTTTTTTTAGATCAAGAGACAATCTAAGACCAATTATATGCATTTGAAAATGTTATTTTGAATATTAAATATAGTAATAAGTTTCGTATGTATTGAACATGCGATATTTGATATGGAATGTTTGTTAGAGATAACACTTAAACAAAGGGAGCTTTTTCCTCAATATACCAGCATTTAAGTATAAAAACTTTAATAAGTCCACGTCCACGATAAAGAATGAATCGTTCACGGTGTTAAACATTGAGGTATGCACTCTAAAACTACTGTCTCTGGGATTGATTAGGGGGTGATTTTAGTCACTGAGTAATTTTCCAGATAGGAAAGATATTTAGAGCCCGTTTCTCTTGAGTTGAGAAAGCAATGACAAACCCTAAACATGTCTTGACTATTGTTTGAAATCCCGGCTTAGCTGTGAGCTTTAATCAGGGGCAATCATAGAAATCCACCCGTATACAACGGTGCACATTCAGAGGTCTTACTCTGAGGTACTTTGTTATGCTGGGAGACACTAAGATTGTATATGGGCTAAATGCATATTGGAGCTTGCATTAAATACATGGAAATATGGAATTAAAAGAGGTAAGAAAACGCCAAAAGGCATGGAGTTTGAGATATAATATGGTATATTTGTATGTAATGTTATCTTTATTTCGATTGTATTATTATTATTATTTCATTAAATGTCACTCAGGTCGACAATCTCCTTCAATTTGAAATCAAAACAATTAACGGTAATCAGCAACTGCTCAAGTCGAGCAAGTAATCAGATTTTCCAATTGCCGCTTATATCGTCCTTTCGTTGAAAATGTAGTTGCTCTCGAAAAGGTCGATCTGAGCACTGTTTCTCGCACATAAATAACACACTACACCCTTCTTAAACAGTGGACCTAGCCCCTCATTCTAAATTGAAGGCATTGTTTTGAATAAATTGAATACGTTGAGATCATAATCATACTCCAAGATCTTTACAAACGTAACCCTTAGAAAAATAACATTGAAGCCGGGCTCTGACTATTGCTGAAGATTGACTGTATGATGTGGTTTTTCAGAATCAATTATTGCAAAGCGAGGCTTGTGCGTAATTCCGGAAATTATTGCAAAGCGAGGCTTGTGCGTAATTCCGGAGCATCTCAAATCAACTCCGTCTACTACAGGTAGGTAATAATGACCGAGGACTAAAAATGGCCTTCACTAAAAAATCTGTGTCGCTAGCCATTAATGACATGCTCACCCTTTCGAAATACCTGATACAAACGGGTACGTCAATTCAACATTCCTTTCGTAAAGTCCACTATGCTATATATTTAATATAAGACAGTTCAACATAAGCATATCTTTTAATAACAGTAACACGTTATGGGAAGACAAAACCTCGTTTTCTCATATAAGCCACAGCTTTCTTATCAACTTTAGATCTACTTTCGGATGGTAATTTTGGTTTCACATGAAGAGACTCAATTTTAGTTACAACAGAATAAATATCAATGTTTGCTTGTTTTTTAACTATAGGGCTCAGTCTTTGCTGTAATTCTGAATATCGAGGATCTTCCTGAAATTTTGGAAAATGTGACTTTCTGTGTTTCCGTCGAACTAATAGATCTTTGTGATGTGGTATAGTTGGGGTGTCTTTTCTTACAGTGACAGATGGTAGATTATCAGTCGTATCTATACAAGATCGTGGTATACGTGTATCCGTTTCAGATCTGGGATCTGGGGGTAAAGATGCTGGAGTTGATGATGATGATGATGGTGGTGGTGGTAAAGATGTAACAAATTGTCCCCCAGAATGACTCGAAGACATCCCTAACCACTTCTCTTCTCTATTAGTAGGATCAAGTCTTTCTAATAAAGCATGTCGAATACTAGAAGATTTAATTCTGGAGTAAGTGACACAAGGTTTATCATCATTGGCTGACAGTATCCTACGAATGGCTGAAGATTTCTTCATCATCCTGTCCAAAAAGATTTTCTGTTCATAAGAATTTTGAGCAATGAATTTATAACGTTCTTTAGAAAGTTCCCACAATTTAGCTTTGAGCATCCTTTCCTCTGTAATATTATCTGTTAGTTGACCTGCCATTCGAGATGTTTCATGGCTTCCAGTTAATGGATCGTCATCTTTCTTCACCCAAGCTTCTATTTCCTTCATAGCATTTGTCCTGTTACTAATCCTTTTACTGTTCATTCGAGGAGGAGCACTTTTCGGTTTTGGAAACATATTGATTTCTTTAGTAGATAAGAAACAATCCCAGTTCCATTCGAATTCCTTTATATCACTACATTTCAATCTATCCAACTGAATTTAAAAACGACTGTTCAACGTTTTCCCATGGTGTATAATGTTTATTGAAGAACATTGTAAACAATAAATCCAACAAGAAAAGTTATGTTTTTTATTGACATGTTATTGTTAATACGTCTTAGCAATTAAACCTATTATTTTATATCGGCTTATACAAAAAATATTCCGTAATATAAGTAGTTCCCACTATCATACATTAAGTATATTAATCCAAATGGCGTATGCACGAAATATACTGTTTTAAAGGACGATTGCCTCTTTGCAAAAATTGAAAATATTCAAGCATAAGACTTGAACATTGAGCTCTTGATTTAATAAGAAAATACTATGCTACACTAGTATCAAAAAAAAAACGTGGACGTTTTGATATCTCGATGTAATAGTTTCGTCAATATGAGCATTTTATTCTCTAAGGATTAGATTTGGGATTAGTAAAAATTACAGGCAATCATACTTTGATTAACACATGGTATGATATTGTAATCCTGTACGTGATGGCCATGCTTGAATTGCTAACATTTATTATATTATCTATGTGTATCTACAATCTAATATTACATAAAGCCTTATAAACGTATCACATTGCCTATAATGGTTTACAATTTATAAAACATAATTGTTTCTTATTATAAACAATAAATGTACTTATTCAGCGGCGGCTAAAAGGGGCCCCACGCCAAAGGCCCAAATTTACAAATTTTCATTGCTAAAATGTTGTAATATTGGAATCAGATATCATTCATTCGTTTTTATTAAATTGCTGCCATTTCATGGCAAGATAACTGCATATTGAAGAATGTAAGCTTGGCTAAGTACTCAAAAATTAATTTAGCATTTTAAATCCACGAGAGGATCATACCATATAGAGGCACCAGCAACGTTACCTCATTACAAATCACGGATCACATAATGGAGATAAGACTAGTGAACACCAGATTGTTCGTTTTCAAGATACTTCTACTTTGATACTGACAACTTCACGAGAAACAACTGAGCCTATACGACTTACTAGCAGGCACCTCGACTATCAGATACAAATTCAAGAACTACTTGACACATTGAGTGGCCTGTCTAAAGTGAACACCATAATGCTATACCACCATTTGGTATCGTCAGCAGTAGAGAAGTTGCATTCTTCGGGTAAACGTGATTATGACTTAATGGACTCCGTGACACCAGTGATCTATCCCGGTTTAAATTGGGCCGAACTGCATCCCTTTCTATTTAAGAGCATGTTAACATTGTTTGGAATATTATTTTTACGTTTCTTTTCTTGTCTAGTTTTTGTGCGTTTCTTAGCATTCGAGAAGGCAAGACCTATATAAAGTTTATTTTTTATGTAAAAGTAACGTGTAAACCAAGGCCTTATAAAACCAAGATAGAAATTTTAAGTTGAAGTGTGTGGTGTGTAGAAATTTGGTTTCATAGTTCAGGTTTAGTCTTTATGGGCCTTAGCTTAAAAAGAACATTCATTCTTTCATTTAAAGGATCATTTAACCGAGTGTCCCTTTAAACGTCTATGAATGATAAACGAATGAGATATTAATTAATGAGGTCATATACAAACATACCATAGTTACCGATCTTAATCACCTCTATTGTACCTGGTATACTTATAGCAATGACTTAAATCTTAATTTCTTAATCCTCTTGCTGACTAGATCTAACACACTTCAGAGTTCGAGGTGCTGCACGTCACATATACATTGTAGCTTCTAAGAAAAAACTGGTGGAACTGTTGCAGTAGTCGACGATCAACATGGCAACTAGAGCAGCCAGTGCTGGAGCTGGTTCTACTGGAAGTAGCAATGGCGATATTCCTGTTTTCACTTCACAAAATCAAAATAAACCTCTACCAGAAGAATGGACTTTGCCTCATGAATGGAGTATAGAAAAGCGAGAAATGTTTCAGGTAAGGATTGCAAAATATTGTTCTCAGCTAGTCGTTATATTTCAAATATTCCAAAGTAGCTTTGTATTCCGAATTTTGAAGGTACCAATGTTTGTGCTCACAGGTGCGATACATATTGAAAATAAACGTCGACATTTTATACAGCTAGCTTAATAATTGGTACTATAATTGTATAACATATATAACATAAGAATAACGAAACGCGAATTTGTACATCTATATTGTTCGGAGGATTGCATCAAGAGGATAGTAGACATTGAGTCTATCGTATTTGGTTAACTTGAAATTTCGCTATATTGAGCCCGCAGATTTTCATTTACTTAATAGTAGAACCTGGTTTGGTTTTGAGTTGACATGCAAAATACGATTACATGTATTCGGATGACACCATAGAACCACAACCCAGTGTGTTACAGGTTTGTTCAAGATCCCTGGACAGTTGAACATTGACAAAGTAGGCTAATAGCACTGTCCTTACAAAATTATTTCAGTGCACATTAACTGGGTTGCATGCCTTCATCAATTCAATTATATTGAGGGAAGTAACAGCTCCGCTTTATATCATTAAGATATTTTTTTCATTTTCTGCAGAATTGGAAAATGGACATTCAAAATCAGATCGCAAATTTGGCAGGAAATTTGGTAAGTATTATTTTACATTCCTAGCTGATCAAAAGGAGCCAAAGTTAACTGTGCTTAACTTCTAAAGGAACATAGAAGAAAAGAAGCGGATTATCACCGTATGTCGATCTGTTGAAAAACATCGTGAGGGCAAGTATTTTGTGGATAGGGATAAGTAATTAGGCTTATATTGTCTCTTTTACAGGAAAAATCATTGTGCAGTAATCCTCATCCTAGTGTTGGTGATGAATTTGACTATTCAGATACTTATTCTAAAGCTGAATTGGAGACCTTCTTACAGCGTAAAGAGCGGGAAGCCGGCAATACTCTTTTATTTGGACTAGCTCGAGTTCAACATCCACAAAAACAATGATATCTGCGATGAACAATAGCTTTAGAAATATGAATCACTATCGCATGCTGTATAAGGTACCTGAGGATTACCATTTAAACATTCTGCTTTGTGAAACTTCCTCTCCTTTGAACATTTTGGTAAATTCCGAACCCTGTACACATGTATATCGTTATATTTTTATAAATCGCTCGTCGTTGTAATTATCATATATCGATCTAAGTAAAATTTCGGTCAATTTTTGTCAAAAAAACATAGATAGTTAGTTATGCAACAATGTAATTAACAAACAAATTTATTAGGAAATATATCATTTTAGTACAATCAGACTTGTCACTCTGGACATTTCTTATTCATTGTATTGTTTTATACTTATTGGAATTAAATTTATTAAACAATAGTGATTCAAATGATTTAAAGTCAGAATGATTTATTGCTGGAAACAATCATTATTAGTAAGCATTCATTCCAATTCCATATTGGCCTAACGTCCACAAAGTATTTAACTTCAAAGCTTTGCTCTGGCTTTAACTGCTAAATCATACATTCGCTTACTAGCGGTAAAATCGTTTGAACCAATAAGCCAAGCACCACCATCAGCTACTATAGTAGTTCCTGTTAGTAAGTCAGCCATACCACTTACTAAATATAGACATATATTACCAATTTCAACCCTTTCACCAATTCTTCCAATAGGTATATATCTGGCTAGATCTCGTGCCATCGGATCTCCGGGTGCTAAATTTCAAAAATATAAAATCATTTTGAAAGAGTACAAACAGCAAGTGTATAAAATAAATCAAATTCAAACTAAATACATTATTGGAAGATATCGCTCGAACACCGTATCGGCTGTCTTTTTTAATCATAAAAATACGGTTCTTCAGTTGAAATTGAAACTGTTGTATTCTTGGAAAAGTATGGTCGGTAACGTGGTAGCGTCCTTGATATAACTATCTTGAATATATACCACTCTTGGAGTGACGACAACTGCTTAATTTCAAAAGGATCAGACGTTGAATGTTGGTTCTAAACCATGACACATATGGCTGCAATTGAAGACTATCCTCAAGTACAACAATAAATTATACTATTCTACCCTTTATATAAATAAACTGAAGAAAAATCTGGTTTGTGAACTGTGGTGATAAATAAATACAAGTAAGGCTAATTGAAGTCCTGGCTTTCAGTCAATTACTTAAAACTGGAGAAAGGTTAATTTAGGATGATGAATATAAGAGTTCCCTTGTAACAAATGGTTCCCTTTATTTCATACGCTTTACATGCTGAATCACTGGGCTGGCTGATAAATTCGGCTATAATCATCAGTTCAATTAAAGGAATTATAAAGAGTTTTTCTGAAAGAAATATTACGTGCATTGGAGACAAATGGAGCTATCAATGTCTCCGATACACATAAAAAAAAATTAGAAGACCTCTTTACAATCCCCTTAATATTATTATTATACTACTTACATAATCTCCTCATTCCCTCTGTATTACCAATAGGACCTGGTGCAACACACATAACTCTTACATTGTTACCACCCCATTCTACAGCCATGTGTCTTGTTAAAGCCTCTAAATAACAAACCAACCAGTCATCAGTAACATTTAATTCTTCTAACTCTCTGCCATTATTAGAAAACTTTCAGATCTTTGAATATGATTGTGAATTTTTGAATGCGAAAGCAAATAAAACTTCAAGGAACTTACCAATAGCCGCTTTAGCAGATCCAGCATGTGCTTGCAATGCCTGGCCTCGAAAATGCAAAGTTGCTGTAATATTTATGATAACTCCGCCATTATTCTGAAAAGATCAATTATTCTTTAAAAGATATACATGTACTCGACTACTTCCTGAACGAATTGGTAGACAGAAATTGAGAATCTTGAATATCGCATGGAATCTTAAAGGAAGAAAAAGTCTTTTTTAGTTTCAAAATTCTAAAACAAATGCATCGTCGTTTTAACCACTCCGACAAGGGACAACAGGCCTGCGACTCGTCATTTTAAGATACTCTGTGATATATAGTAAAGACATAATACAGAAATGGTGGATAAAATTCCTAGTTTTAAGTTTTTTTATTTTTTTTATTTTCGTACATTTCTAGCACTTCTGAAGATTGTATATTTACATATATTCAAAACTCAAATAAACCCCCAAAAATGGTGCATCTGTTCCTTTAATAAAAATAGTTTCAGACCTGTTGAAGAGACGTTGGAACCAATGATACCCACCTTAAAATACCTGTCAAATACAGCTTTACTGGTGTTGAGCGTTCCCATAGTATCAATTTCCATAACTGTTTTAAATGCATTGTAAGACATGCTTTCCAAAGGACACAAAAAGTTACCAGCAGCACCTGAATCAAAACAAAAACCGCGAGGAATACATAGTTCTAATGCCGCCGAATATCATTGTTGTTTGGAATTTTATTAATAATATTTCTATTATATTAACTTAACCGATTTAGCTGAGTAACATCAGAAACTAGCAAATAAATCCGATCCAGGTCACAATATCTTACGAATATACTGGCACGTTTCAGAATTGAAGTCAGACGTTCACGCGAGAACAGCAATAATAAGACGAGCGTTCTGTTTGGATTTGAATTGGAATCCTATGTAAAGCTATGTAAAGTTCGGACCAGTGTTACTTCAAACGCGAAATAATCTTTTCCTTTCTATGTTATAAATCCCAGAAAAAGTAGACAGTGTAATAACCCACGGTATTTATTATTATTTTTTTAAATGTAGGGAAACGGGACGTCGGACTTTGGTTTCGAAAGGCGATTCGGATAGCTGAAATTAAACTCTCTATCAGCTCTGTATGCGATAAAGCAAATGCTTCTACGATACTTCTTTTAAATCAATAACATAAAATACACAAACCATTAATCAAATAATCTATTCGACCAAATTCCTTTAACGTTTCATCGATTGCATTTAATATATCTTGTGGCTGAAACAATAGTTTGCATTACATAATGAAAGTATTTGAAGAACATAAACACCATCAGTGAGTCATAACTTGACAATTTATTAAATGTACTGTACATTCAAACTTGTACGAAAGGTCACTCGAATTAAGCGTAATGATTCACGACCAATTTCACATTTTAGAAAAAATGAAATGAATGGAGTGTTACGTCCTTCTCACATTTTAGTCATAAGTAACCTGTTACATGATGACTTGATACAACCAGAGCCAAGTTCTTGCTCACAGTAAACCGTTCACTTGCTCTAAATTTGCATGGAACTTTTTGCCTCTTTTGTTGTGGTCTGTCTTTAATACGGGTACATAAAACAATGAAGTCTGTTAATAAGCCTACCTTCTTCACATCCACTTGATAACTAAGACATCTTTGGCCAGTAGCCTTGGTTAATGTTTCAGTCGATTTCTTCAATCTATCTAAATTTCTACCAACAATAACTCCCTTACATCCATGTCTGAAGCCAAAAGTGTGCAGTATGCTTAACGTTAGGTCAGTAATGATAATGCTAAAAGGGGAAAATTTCCTAATCTAATTATAGTGTTTTATTCTGAAGAATGTCGTCTGGGAGGATTATGAAAAAGTGAAAAGTTATGTAGCACTACGTCATGCATTGGGAGAATGGAGGTCGATAGGAAACCAATGGCTATTACCAGTAATATAAGTGACGAATATGCACTGTGGTCGTCTTTAATGTAGGAGCTTATTCTGCCTTTATATAGTTGAGAAAGAAAATAAATGTGCATATTATACTCATCGGGCGTTAAATACGTACCGCAGAAAGACTTCTGTAATAGTGAAACATATTCCAGAACCACCACCAGTAACGAATACAACCTTATCTCTGAAATAGGTGTGTCTATTTTAAAACTTTGAGTAACATGTGTTCCATCATCATAATATTACGGTTCTCGGGTAAAAAATCGTTTTTATTCAAAGCGGATAAGCGTCTTCACTAACACTGATAACAGGTTTGCAAATAAACTGAAGTCCGATTTGACATCTGGACGATTTGGTGAAAGTATTCAATTTTTACTCGTCATAGAAAAAACATACGTCAACATCCCCCAAATATAGTCGCTTTATGATCTTCATACCTTAATAAATCTGGTACAAACAGTTGCTTGTACGAATTTAGGCACTTTTCCACGAAAACCTTTTCTCCAGCAGACATTTTAGCAGTGTTTAAAAACGACCTTTGGTCTGTACGATCTGGTACTCTGCTTTGCTTTCGAGGTATTGCCCCTATATTGTCCAAATTGGACTTATCTTATCTGATAAAGAACTAAAGTCTAAAGTTGGATATTTTCAGTCTTTTCAATGACGTATAAATTAAACATCTTTATTAAAAATTTCAATAATGTGCATAAAAAAAACAAGCATATTTTCCATCTTATTGGCGATTTCATAGCATTTGAACATTGCTTGCAAGATTGCTAAGAGGCGATATTGTCAAAGCAAATAATTATTTGGGGCGAATGGTCTTCATCACGTGACAGTCTCGTGACTTAAAATGGCGATAGAATTTTTGGAGAAAACAAGCGACAATGAGAAGTTTACCATAACTTGATTTTTCATCACAGATTCAATACGAAAAAGACAAAATGCTTCCAAAATTCTGTATGTTATTTTGTATTTTTATGACATTGCTACAATAACTTGTCAGAGAGAAAGACACTGGCAGAGTGTGATCATAATTAAAAAAAAAAAAAACAAATTGAAAGTGAAATGTCACTATTTCTACTTTGTTACTAGGCCTTGTTTTCAAACTGAAATCAAATCTATTAAGTTTTATATGCCTTAGTCATAAACAAACATCAGATGAGGAAATACATTATCAATCAGCAATTGCAGATGATCACATGCCAGTAACATTCCAATAATGGTATAAGTTTATAACAAATCTGCAGATATGCAAATTTCCTTGATAAAAAAAGACTTAATGAAATTGTAACCATTTTGTAACACCTTGATATTGTGAAAATATGCAATTCATTGCTTGACCACATATTTCATTTTAATCGTTTTATTAAGACTTCTGTAATATTTTGATTAATTTTAGGCCCTTCCATCTTATTTCTGTTGGCAGTAACTGTGCTATTAGCCAGATGTGACAGTATGAAGCACATATGCAGTCACACACAATCTGATATCAAGATGGACACTGCATTATTGTCAGTTATAAATGATAAAACCAAAAATATTACATTATCAATATACCAACAAAGTTCTGAGTGTTATTTGGTATGTATCCTATAATCATGTTATTAATAGATAGATGCTGCCTATGAGGGATAAAATTTCAAATTGGTGATTCAGAAAGATAACATAACAAGGGAAATAATTGCACAATTTCAGTTATCCCTATCACTTTTCAGAATTAATACCTGACTCTATGTAAATATTAGAAAAGATTGTGATATTATTTTATATTTTTAGTGCAATTTAACCTATATTAGTAAAGTAAGTTCTAAAGATAACTGTTCTTGGTTGGTTGATACAAGATGGAAAACTAGACTTGAAATACGTGCTGATAGTGGTAAACTTACTAAATCATGTTTGTGAGTATTTTCATCTTTATCAATAATAATTGTTATTTTAAATTGAAAAGTTACAATCCAGTATAAAGCTTTCATCTTTAAAGTGTGTTTGTAGAGTTTAGTGTTCTGATGAACAAATATCGAATAGTAGACAAAAAGCCACAAAGCCATGAACTGGTTTAATATTAATGTAAATTTTTTACAACACTCCGTGTAGAAATGTTGAATTATTTTTGACTATGAATCATTTGTTGTTCATCACAGCTATTGGCTTTAGGAATGTGATTCATATTATAACAATGTATAATGTCAGTCCAAAATGATGTAAAGACTATGTAAATTTCAGAGAATCAGAACTGACATCAGAGTTTTTGGAGGATGGAATCTATAATATATTTATTACTATTAATGCTGATAATCATGTAACATGTACACTACCACAGTTAATGAATGACCCACCTGATGCTAATATTCGTAAGTTTGTCTGAGTCTTCGATAATCTTTTACTATGAGTTCTGAAGGTTTACAACAGGGTTCTTGTTTTTGGCAGATGTGTCAGAATGTTCAGGATTGACATACTGCCACTGATGGACATCAAGTGCATGAAAATGGGAAATATGAACAATACAAATGTGATAAATGACTGACGTGATACTTGTAACAATTGTAAATCACAAGCTTTTTGGATAAGGAATATCTGGTAAATATATAATATAGTCAATCATGTATTTTGGTAAAAAAATTCCATCATGAGACCAGTTGATATGTTATCAACCAAACTGATGGCGTAACCCAACTTATACAGCAAAAAGTTTTCTACAAAAATAACACAAAAGACTACAGTTAAAAGACTAATATTTGTTCTGGAATAGAAAAGGATAATGAATTTTTTTTTATTCCAGCTATATATGTTGCTATTGGTATTGGTGTTGGACTGGCATTACTTTGGATATTTTTTAAAGATTTATACAGGTAAATAAATTGTGTCAAATTGTAAATGCTAGGGTGATCTAAATGCAATGAGTTTCTATTTGTTTCTATTTCTGTAATGTACAGTGGTGTAACCTATTTTCGTGGATATAAGGATTCAACACCGAATTTCGTCAAAATTAAAAAAACAAAAAAAGTTTTTATGTCTTAGATGTTTCCTCAGATATTCTACAAAATAATTAAAATTGGTTTGTTTCGATTTTCTTTATGAATCCTTCACTTTGACCCATATTTCATGAGCAACCAACTCGGCAACGGCGACAGAATGTGTCACCTATTTTCGTGTACAATGTTTGAACTATAAATAAGTCGAGAAAAACACGTTGTATGGATACCGGGTGGTATAATTAACTTCTCTTAGTATTTATCTTCAATATCAATTCATTATAACTAGTGACAATTCCTCCAAAGAACCACGATTTTAAAATAAAATAGTGACTGACAAAACAAGATATGTAGCGTGATTTATTGATAAAATTCACTGAAAAAACATAAGAATATGGTCCACTTTGTGTTTCATAGAAATTTTCTGCTGACACGGAATCCTCTAGTTGATCACGTGACTTCATTCGTTGGACTATATTCTAGCAGACGACACTTGGAATTCCGATTACGGCTAGGGATTATAAGGAAATTCGGCTGATAAAAAATGGTGACGTTTGGTAATAAGTGAAATCCGCCATTTTGTATTTGTCAAAGTATACATTAATACATTTTACCTTGCTTGAAACTATTGGATTCATTCTACTAGCTGATATTGTAGAGAAAACCCATGTTTATTAAAACAAACTAATGCTGAGGTCGCGCAAGGTCGCTCATGTAAATTATTAATCATTTCCGGAAATCCACGAATAATAGGTTTCCACGAAATTAGGTTACTCGACTATATGAATTCCTCAACAAAAGGATTGAAAGAAAGTGCCATGTTGTATATTTCAGACGAGGTACATTACACCGGTTGTTTTGTTGTTGTTGTTATTACACTGATGGTATGATGGTGGTAAGTATTATGTATGGTAACAAAATTCTATTTCTGAAGAGTAAAGAAAAATATAAGTGTAAAAGACCCAGATTACAGAAATTGAATTACTGTGAATGGGAACCTGTCAACCTTTGATAAATTTCTATAAATGGCTTAAGTATTCAAAGTTGTTGTAGATTCATTATACATTATTTATTTGCCTATCTGATTTTGAATATTACCAACATTCTCTACCTCTGATACCTACCTTGAATCACATTTCTAGATATTTTGTTTTTTTCATCAATGTTTATATACTGTTTATTTGTGTTTTTCATCAGGATGGGGTGCACATTATTTAAGTAGTATATGTCTTTTCGGATATGACGCATTTCACTTCTGCGCATGCGCAGCTTTTTCAATGCATCATATCCGAAAAGACACAACTGTTAAAATGTATTATAACAGACTCCCCAAACTGTATTATAACAGACTCCTTCCAAACTGTATTATAACAGACTCCATATAAATTACCCAAAAGCACAGACAAGAATCACTAAAATAATACAGTATAAAATAACCGCATTAAAAATGTCTTTAATTTTAAAACACGAGCAAAAAAAATTCGAAGGAGACGGTTTCTTCTCTGCGCTAACATCTCTCATCCCCAAAGTGGCCAATTTTGTATCAAACAACAAATTTCCTCCTTGTATTAAATCTTTCGTATTAAAAATATATGTTGAACAAATATGTCTTTAATAAATTTCCATCCTCCTAAAACGTATTTCGGTGCGGGAGACATTCAAAAGAACGTTCTCTTCCTGGATTCCCATGGGCAAAATATCCCGGAGAAAAACATCTCCCAGGCCACAATTATACAGGTCCAGGCACGAGATTAGATCTGCGTTTAGACGAAAATGATAATCCCAAACCAGGGGAAGAACCCGTTAATAGAGTTGACGCAGCAGCGCTCAAACACGACATACTGTACAGAAATAAAGACGTAACATTCAGACACCAAGCAGACAAACAAATGATAGATGAACTCGAAAATATTCCCAATCCCACTTTCAAGGAGAAATTAAAAGGGCTCTTATCGTAAAACTCTTGAAGGCAAAATTGAAATTGGGTATGGGCATAGCAGACGAGATTCACAAAGAATTTCGAAAAAACAAACATTACCTCAAAGTCAAAGTTTTTGATAAAGATGAAATTTGGTCAGCCGATTTAATCAACATGCCAGTCGAGAGAGGGTACAAGTATTGTTTGACGGTGATCGACATATACACGAGATACGCTTGGGTCTTTCCCTTGAAAAACAAATCGGGTCTGACTGTCAAACAAGCATTCGAAACCATAATGAAACAATCCGACAGACGACCCCTAAAGTTGTGGGTTGATAAAGGAAGCGAATTCTACAACAGAAATGTGAAATCTCTGGGGTTTGAAATTTACAGCACGCATAACGAAGGTAAAGCCGTAGTGATAGAAAGATTCAACATGACTCTTAAAAGCAAATTATTCAAGAAATTCACGGAATTGAAATCTCAAAAATGGCTTAAAATATTACCAGTTGTTGTCGACGAATACAATAACAAAATACATTCGTCTATAGGTGTGACGCCATCGCAAGCCTCTAATAACCCGAATATCATAAAGTCTGTCAACACTCAAAACAACTTAGAAAACGAGATTAGCAATTTGAATATTAAACCCAAATTCAAAGTTGGAGATCGAGTTCGTATTTTTAAATATAAATCATTGTTTCAGAAAGGTTACGTCGGCTATTGGACTAGCGAGATATTCATCGTTGATAAAGTAAACAACACATCACCTCCCACGTATGAATTGATCAATCAAGACAAAGAACAAATCATAGGAAGGTTTTATCAAAATACTTCAAAAAACTGACTTTTAAAAATGAATCTCGCAAATGAAGATTTAGATGAAAGGTTAAGAAATTTAGATGTCGACAAGCATTTACGCTCTCTTAAATTAAGATTTTTTAAATTTAAATGTAAATTTATCTTCAAAATATTATTGAATGTGTTTTATCGGAATGTTATACAAGTTTTTTCAAACACAAACTACGTATATATTTCGTCAATTGGGTCTTCAGCAATACTTTCCGCCTACTTCGAAAAACACCTAAAAAAAATCAACTTAAAAAATGAATGCATTTCTCGATAAATACAGAAAAGACACGACCACAAATTTTCAACTTGTGAAATGGGCAAAGGAGTTGAACTTCTCGCCGTTTTATTATTGCGTGCGAGATGAAATTGATGAACTGAAATACAAGAAAGGTAAATTTTACGCCATCACAAACATTCACACGTCGGATCAAAAAGGAGTTCATCACTCTGCTCTACACAAAGATTCTTCGAATAACTTTTATTTCTTTGATTCTTTCGGTCTAGAACCGACAGAAGAGATAACGAAATTGACTAGCAAACCAATCAAATGTTCTTCGTTTCAAATTCAAATACCAGGACAAAAGCTGTGTGGACAGCTGTCGCTTTGGGTTTTATATCGGTTGAGTTTGGGAGAAAAGTTTGAAGAAATTATAATAAATTTAACTCAATAAAAATGGCAAACAAGTTTGGATTAGGGTCTTTACCTCTAGAATCTAAAAATCCCATGAGTTCTACGGCGTTTATAAACAAAGCGAAACCTTTTTTCGTGGATCAAATCGGAGACACCTTACAAGGGGATATTGATATGAACAATTTCAAAATAACTAATTTAAAGTTTCCAGGAAACGATAATGATGCCGTGAACAAGAAATATTTACTGGATCAAATAAACGCAATTCAAATAGATAAGAACCATGTTGAAAATAGAATCACTGACGTGAAAAAATTCATCAGACGAAATATTAAAAATCTTGTGGACAAACCCAAACTACAACAAGAGTTAACGAGTTTGAAACGTCTTATTCAAGTGGATAAAACAAGTCAGTTGCAAAATTTAATATCTAAATTAGACAATAAGATTATGAAGGTAAAAATAGACGTCCAACGTTTAATAGACAACCCAAATGTAAACGAGGATAGATTGAAATGAAAACCAACCGCTTTGGAAAGAAAACTTGGCGAATTGCTAGCAGAACTAGACAAGACTGCGGACAAAACCGAGTTTCAAAATTCGATATCCAATTTGAACGAAAAGATCGTGAAGCAAAAATCAGATGTTCAAGATATAATTAACACACTTCCCATTGACAAAGATACGTTGAAACGACAATTGACTGCTTTGGATACTAAAATCACGGACGAATTAGAAAAAGAAATGGGTGTGATTAAAAACTTTCTTCAAAATAAATTTCGAGATGATATGAAAAATTATATTAAAGAACAGGTCAATCTTTTGGTATCTAGAATTCATGACGATTTTTTGAGACTAGAGAGAAAGTTGAGCAAATTAGAAGCTATTGTCACGGACAAATCGTATTATTTCAATCTTCCATTCGAAAGTGACACTGTCTTCGATAGAAAAGACCAAATTTATAAATCAAACAAATACAGATTCAAAGCAGAAATAAAAGTGGGTACTCTCGCATACGGAGAACCTAAAAACGTATTTGATATCGGCGAAACGGAAGCGTTAACTTTTCGAGGTAATTGTCTGATTCAAATAGAGTTTCCCATGAAGGTTAAAGTCAATAAAGTAGTCTTCAAACAAAGCGGTAAGGGCGTCAAACATATTTCATTATTCAATGATGGTAATTTGGAAGAGAATATACGTTTGATTGATAAAAGGGATCAGGAAATTGAAACGAAAAATGGTAAATATGTAGACACCTTTAAAATGGAAGTAGAAAATGATAAGGATATCATTGGAATCAAAGATTTGGATATGATATTGGAGACGGAAAATCCACCATTAACCAACATTGTCAAAATTCCATTTATAATGCCCGTATACGTACCCGGACCAATAGAATTGAGCAGTCACGAGTTTTTACGAACAACAGACTTTGAATACGTAAAACTGTATTTCGCTTTAGGTGGAAAATACACCTCGATCGATGTTCATAAAAGTCAACAAGAAAGAGAGTTTATAGTACATTTAACATTTGCCGAAGATTCCGACTCCATCCTTAATGGTGGTGGTTTTATTTCTAGAGCCAAGATAAACATCGAAAAAGAAAAAATAAAATATTCCTATCATCTTAAAGAGGACCATACGAAAAAAGAAATGTCGTTAGTACGCGTAAATGTTTTTACTTTTAATACCCGCAAATATAATAATGCTAGGCCAAACAAGGAGGCTCTATACGATATTCCGTGGTTCCATTTATCGGAAATTAACTTAATTTAACGACTTAAAAAAAAGGAACTCGAAAGCAGACAACAATTCATGATAGACAAACAAGAAGAGTTGAAAATAAAGTTGAGACAGTGCAATTCATGCAGGAAAACATGGAGTAGAATCGATTCTTTTTTCAAAACAGCGAGCACAGTTCTAACGGTAGGAGTAACGGTGGCAACGGCCGTGACTGGTGGATTAATGCTTCTGGTCATCGTCCCAACCGTATTGGCTGCATTAACAGCCGTTCAAACGACTTCTTGCGGTCTCATCACTTTAGGTTTCACGAGCAAAAAGAAAGCTCATTATAAAAAGAAAACGGATATCTTGAATATGTATCTTAATCAATTGTACATCTTTTTCGAAAGATCGAGAGAAGACAAGAACATAACAGTTGAAGAATTACAAGAATTCAATGAAATTTTGGACAAATTCCATACAGAAATATCAGCGGTCAAAATAAAGAAATAATCAAAAATATACACTTAAAAAAATATGAATAAAATCGAACTTGATGAAACATTGATAGAAAACGCCCTATTTTCCGATGTTATCAAGGCTATCTCTGATAAATTTAAAACATTCAAAGGACAAATTAAAATAGATGGAGAAATAGTCGAGGAAGGGAATCACAGACAATACATGTCACTCCTCGGTTTCAATGCCAAAACCTTTCACAATATCTTTTCAAATATGGACAAAAAATCTGATGCTTCCGATTGGTATTTTACAGGAAAAATAATTTTAATGAAAGACAATTTCCAAGAAATAAAAAGATCGAGAGTTGGTAGAGGAGGAACTGATCTACTTAAAAAGATAAATGAATACGAAGGCGAAAATTGTTACATACCTACAGATGGTTATTGTTTTATCAAATGCGTTAATCGTGTTTTGAACAAAGATTTAACGTGTAAATTTCAAGAATACATCAACGGGTTTTCAAAAGCAAATAGAAAAGGGGTGATGACTTGTGCTAGAAGGAAGGAATTCAACAAGAAATTCACCACTTCGTTTCAAATTTATAATCCCAAAAACAGACATTTTCACCCCAGAGACGTTCACGATGAATTAGATTGGGTTTTTTACTTACACAACTCGCATTTCTGTTTGATTAGAAGAAGCCAAAAAAGTTTGGGAATTCAAGAAATAGAAAGCAATTACGAACAGGTGTGGAAAACGTGTAGAGACGACAACGCAGTAACACAGGTTTCACCCCTCAAACTAAACGTGCTTTCGAGTATGAGTGATGATGCGTTATTCGCTTGGGATGGCGAAACGTATTCAGAAAAAGACACGCGAAGAGCAATTCCATATTGTTGCACTTTGGTCAATTTGGAAAAACTAAGAAAAATGTTAAACAGAATAAATAATCTATTTCCAGATTTAAAGCCTACAGATCCCATTCCAGAAGAATTTTACAACAAACTCATGACTAATATAGTAGAAATATTTGTAGGTACAGATTGCATCGATCAAATGTTGAAATATTTAGGTCAATATGATAGAAAGAGATTAATATTAATTTGGATTCGACAAGTGGATCGTGCTTAAAAATGCAAAAAAACTAACGCATTGCCCTTTAAAAACACCCAGAGGAATTCTATCTTTTCCTTTATCTAATCCATACACGGATGAAGATTTACAGAAAAAATGGAAAAGACAGAAAGAAATAAAGGGTAATTATTTACAACATATTAATTTCACGTGTTCCTATCAACACGAATCCTCTAGTTTGGCTGCATGGGGAAATTCTTCCAATCTCCCCGCGAATTTGAGAAAGATTGCCGACGTAGATATCGCAAAATACACGCAAGACAACTGGGAGGAATTGAGACACTCTCTGTTTGGGAGCTTGTTTGATAAAATACAACCAAGTCACGAAAGAAGTTGTAAACCAGAATATGTCCAATAATCTAACGGCTCCATCTTTATCTTTAAAGGGTTGGTATTATTTATATCATTACGATAAAAAAATAGTGGAAGAAGAATGGTATGAAACTACTAGAATGGTTGCGAAACATACCGAAAAAGAAAACGTAGAAAAAGTTTATTCGCACACTAATCCTTTTATAAGAAATTTTATCAGACGATCTATTAAAGGAGGAAGAGTTTCGGCAAATAGAAAATCATTTGAAACGAACAAAATGGATGAAATTTGTAACGTATTAAAGGAATATATTTCACAAAGTGAAAGTAATAACATAATTGATTTATTCAAAGAATACAGCGCAAGCACAAAAGACAAAACGGAGGTTCATTCGAGACTTAAAAAAATAGAATGTACTAAACTAATGGCATTTGATGCTAACGGTTTATACGCTTCCGCCATGTCGGATTTAGACAGTGAATATCCGAGAGCGGAAAGTGGAAGACCGTTTCTACCAGAAGAAGAAAAAGAATTTGTAAAACTCTTCAATAAACAAAAATTCAGACCTAGAACAGCTATTTTAACAGTGTGGTTCGACTATCCCAAAAACATGTTCTTCCAACCGATACCAGCTAAAGATAAAATCACTTTCACGAATAAAGAAGGTAAAAAGGAAACTGGTAACAAAATCAGGTTCAGAAATGGTTTCTGTCACGACGTTTTAACATCGGTCGATATTCAAGAAATAGTGAAAGCCGGTGGACGAATTATTAGAATATTAGATGGTATAGTTTACGAAGAAAATTTTAAAACTCCACCCTATAGAGATTATATTTTAATTTTGAGA